AAGTAGTTCATTATGACTGTTTGTGAATTGGGACATTTCAACTTACTTTTTTAATTCCCATTTAAATTTAGTAGGAGTCGGAGTCGGTTAACTTTTTGCCGACTCCGACTCCAGGTACCCAAAATTGTCTCCGACTCCGACTCCACAGCCCTGTCTTTGTGTGACTTTGGTAGCCTTGCCGTTCATTAGCCAGCCCTCTGGCTGGATAGTAAACATGTACCTTGTAGCATTTAGGTCTTTCCATTAGGATTGTCAGTGTTGTTGCGATGCAGTGTGCTTGCTCTGTCTCATAGGAAGACTGATTTTTTTATATACAAATCTACCCCACATGGTGTCCAAAAACTCATTAGAAACATAATTTTGGGAAGTGGTGGGGTATTAGTACTAACTTAGATGTAGTTATGTTTTGTTCCTAGTGCAAATAGCAAAGGGCATCTGTAGTTCTGTACTATGAAATATCACCACCCACTGCAAGAATTCCCTCCCCCCAAGCAATAAATATGTAATATGAATCAAGAATGTTTCAAGACTGCTACTGTAACTGAACTATACGCTACATTGTGGTTTGTTGTAGTCAAGCACACTCTGACTCTCGGGATCTCTTGGAGATTCTTTCATTTTGAAAACTGACAGGAACAGAAACAAAAAGTCTGATTGGTAAAAGAAGTTTTCAGGCTCCACTTCTACACAGGAACATGGGGGGTATTGGCACAACACGCACACACTTGTATGTTACATACTTGTATGTAACGGGGCATGCCAATAATGTGTCATTAGATTGTCCACCGTGTGATTTGTTGTTCCCTTGCACAGTAATAATATCATTAAGGGTGGATACAAACACCTACCTCACCACAGTATGTATTAAGAGTGGTGAGAACTTGAGCATGCAAATCGTACAAACGTTTAGGAGAATAGGGGTGGGGCCCATATACCAGGGCCATTCAAATCACGGTCCTCAAGGGGCGAGCACTACTGATTTTCCAGCCTTCCTTTACTTGTGAGCTGGGTGTGAAGCTTCTGTGGCCAATCAGAATTAATAATTATTAAGTTAACTGCCTGGGAGAAGTGAAAACAAGGCCTGGATTTGGAATCAAGGTCCAGCTGATGTCCCTGCAATATACAGTATGCATATAAGCAAGTACAGGGAACATCAGTCAGGTGTGGCCAGGGGTGTGGCCAGGGGTGTGGCCAGGGGTGTGGCCAGGGGTGTGGCCAGGGGTTTGGTTGGGTGGGACCAGGGGTGTGTATTTCTGGATACCTGGAGGAAGCTGCTCAGAGTGGGGAGGGGAGAACACAGTGTTTACTTTTAGGCAGGGCGAGGGTACAGGCTGCAAGCTTCTGGGTGCTGGTCCTTCTATCCAGGGTGGGATTGGTATCTATCTCTCTCACTGTTTTTGTTTGATGTCCATTTGTTTGGAGTTTGATATTTTTGCTGCCAGTGGAGGCGGTTTTTTCCTTCTCTGCTAGTCTCTCCCCCTCCCCCTCCATTGGTTATTTTACATGTTTCATTCTTGCCCCAGCACTGTAACACTTACGCAATGGTGCTTTTATCTAACATGACATGTTGTAACAATTCAATAACTTCAGATTGTTATACCTTGTTGCTCTTTTTAAACCCCCATGCTGGTTACGCAGTTCATTTGATTTAGTTTGTTAGGTACCCCTGTGTAGTA